CTTGACAGAGAGAGCCGAGAGGGAGCTGACGAAGGATGACAGGATGATGGACTCCTCCTCGGGGCACACGGAAAGGTTCTGTGGGGCCGGGGATGGGGTCAGGATAAGGGACAGCCAGGCTAGGGCACAGGGGACAGAGACAGCCCCCACGGGGGTCACAAACCAGCCCCTACCAGTGTCCCCCAGTACCTGGATGACTTCGCTGAGCACCAGGGCATCGAAGCGGGCCAGGTACTGGACGTGGTAGCGCTGCAGCACCCCGACCTGCCGCCGCACCAGGCTCCGCAGCCGCTCCATGAGGAAGAGCAGCTCCGCGACGTGGCTGAAGCCAGAGCCACCGGTCAGACCCAAGCGCCGGCTGTTTCCCCCCCCTCCAAATCCCCGCCCCCCCCCCCCAAGTGCCAGCTGTGCCCACGGCACCCTGACAATCCCCCACCACGAGATCAGCCTGCCCCCTGGGCACGGATCCCTTCCCACCCCGTGCAGAGCCAGTGCCCGCACACCACGGCTACCTGTCAGCGAAGTCCTCGGGCGTCTTGGTCTTGGTGACGTGCTCAGCGTGCCGCACCAGCCAGCTCACCTCGTCCCGGCAGAAGGAGAGCGCCATGAAGACGAAGAGGGCCTGGGCAGAGGGGGGAGTTAGAGGGGACCAGGACCAAGGTGCTGCCACCGGGCACTCCCACGGGGGTGGCACCGATGGCCCTGGGTGCTGTGACCGCATTTCACACCCCCAGGCGCACGCAGAGCCTGGCACCCAGCCCCCTGCACCCAAATCCTGCACCTGTGCACCCCTGTATCCCAAACCCTGCACCCACACACTCCGTGCACCCCAAACCCTGCCCCCGCTGCCCCCTTGTCCCCGTGCTCACCTTGGGTCCCAGAAGCCCGGGCTGATCCTCCAGCAGTGCCTCCAGCTCCCGCACGGCCCCCCGCAGGTACGCCCGCCGGCCCCGGTGCAGGGAGCCGCTGCAGGGGTGGGGGTCAGGGTCAGGGCCACCCAACTGAACCCCTCAAATACCCCTCCCACCCACTGGGGACATCACAGGCACCATGCGGCAAAGATGAGGGTTGTGGCACTGGGCCAGCGTGGACCCAATCGGGGCAGCCCGCTCCCAATTTCCCAGGGTGCTGACACCCCCCACCCTCTGGGACTCGTGAGACCCCCAGGACCCTGCAATCCTTTGGGGTGCCCTGGGACCTCCCAGCTCCCCAGAACCCCTGGGCCCTTCCCCAGTCCCGCCGTCCCCTCGCCGAGCCCCCAACCTGTGAGACACGGCGTGTTCCTTGCACTCCTTGAGATCGGCCACCCGCTTCCCATACCTGCGAGAGAGTCACGGCCGGGCAGTGCCGGGCACAGCACCCGGCACAGCACCCAGGAGACCCCCAGGCACCCCACAGAGCCCCTGGTACAGCCCCCAGCCCCTGACACCCACCACAACTTCCTGGCACCCCGCAAAGTCTGGCCCCTGGCACCCAACAGAGCTGCTGGCAGAGCCACCCCCCCCCGTCCCCAGCCCCTGGCACCCATGGTGGCACCCCCCTGGCACCCTCCACGGCCCCGGCGCTGGCACGACCGTTACCCTTTGAGGCTGCTGAGCAGCTCCTCGGTGACCTTGTGGATCTGGAGGGCTTCGTCGCGGAGGAGGGGGACATAAAGCGAGCCCTGCAGCGCCAGCCGCCACAGCTCCAGGCACTGAGGGGACGAGCCCAGAGCCCCCGGGCACACCAGGAACCCCACTGCAGGCACAGCCGTCAGGCGGGCAGGGGGTGCCCGCGCTGCCAGACCCACAGCGGGCTGGGGGACAGCCCGAAACTGGGAGCCAGGCTGCTGGGGACCCTGCGCCCGAGTGGGGCTGGGGACCCGGGGGCGCTGCAAGGACTCACTGAGGATCCAGCGTTCCATCACCTCCAGGGACAGGTACTCGCAGGCCATCTGGGGACACAGGCGTCACCGTGTCACCCTCCTCAGCCCTCCCGCAGTCTCCCCCCAGGCCCCGGCCAGGTCCCCCCGCGGCGCGGTGGCACTCACGGTGTCGGAGCTGGCGGGGCTGAGCATGGTGCCGGCGGTGCTGAGCAGGCTGAGGAGCTGGTCGCTGCGCCACTGCTCAGCCCCCTGGTTCCTCCGGGCGAAGAGGAAATGGAGGGACAGGAGGGCACTGGTGACAGCCTGGGGGACAGGAGGACATCACAGGGGGGCTGTGGGAGGGACCGGGGCAGGATGTGACCCCGCTGGCTGTGGGGGAGCCCCATCCCACCTTGGTGTGCGGCCCAAATTCCTCCGCCAGCTTCTTGAGGGGGTGGTCGTACTCCAGCACCATCTGTCCCAGGCGGGCGAAGCTGGGGTCGCTGCGGGGAGGGTGGCACGGGGTGGGGGGGTTAAGGACAGTCCTCAGGGCCAGCCCCGGTAGGGACAGACTGTGGGGGACAGGCCTGGTGGGGACATCTGACCCACCTGGTGCCGTGGCTCATCTCGTGGGCGCAGTGGTACATGCCGATGAGCAGCCGGCGGTCCTCGGTGCGGGCCAGCAGCAGGACAAGGGACACGTAGGTGACAACCAGGTCCAGGTAGCTCTTGGTGAAGTCGTAGTTGACGTGCTGGGGAGGGGGGCAGTCGTGAGCGCGTGGGGACGGCAGTGGCACCCCCCAAAGTATCCCCCCCCACCCCCTCCCCGGGATCCCCGGCGCCCCACTCACGATGTCAAAGAAGCACTGGCTGGCATCGATGGTGTTCAGCAGCTCGTAGACATGGTCCTGGCAGGGAGGGGACAAGGGGCGTTGTCACCGCTGTCCCCCCCAGATCTGAAATAGCGGCGCTGCCCCCCAACCCCCCCCCGCTTCCCCCCACCACGTTCCCCAGCTCACCCTGAACTCCAGGACATCCAGGAAGGAGTGGTAAAAGGGTCCCAGCGCCCGGGCGATGTCCCCCTTGTCCTTGTGCACCGGCCCCAGGTGTTGCTGTAAAGGGACAGTGGGGACACCCGGGGTGGGGTGACACAGAGGGGACACCCCAAAAGGGGTGACATGGGGCAGGGGGTGGCTGGATGACCAAGGGAGGGGGGGATGGAGGGGAAGCAAAGTGGGGTGACAGAGACCGAGGCGAGGCGTGCGGATGGGGGCAACATGGGGTGGGGTTGGTGAGGACACTGGAGATGGGGGGAGACGGGGTGAGGGGCAGAGGGGACCCCCGGGTAGGGCTGGGGGGACGGGGAGGGGGGACAACAGGGGGTCGGGGACAGAGGGGACACCCTGGTCCCTCACCGTGCTGCTCCGCACGTCCAAATGAGGAAACTTCTTGTTGATGAACTTGACGGAGGGCTCCATGGCCTTGTCGCTGAAGAAGGGCGGCCGCGTTTTGGGGTCGGAGCATGTCTGTGGGGACCCCCTCCAATGTCAGACACACACCACCACCACCCCCCCCGAAACCCCCTCCTGGGCTCACACCCCCTCATCAGACCCCCCTGCCCCAGCAATCCCACCACCCCCCCGGTTTCTTCACGACCCTCGTTCCAGGCGGAACTCAGGCTCTTCCCCATCAGGTAGGGTGGGGTATCCCGGTGTCCTGCACCCCAAACTTTTCCCCCCACCATGAGACCCAGGCATCCCCCACCCCGCACCCACCTTCTTGATGTTGTAGATGCGGATGAGGACGCCCCGTCCCCGGTCGTTGAGGATCGTCAGCTTCTCGGCGAACTTGTTCTGGTAGACGGAGGGCAGCGACATGGCGGCGACGTGCTGGGGAGCAGGGGTTGGGGGGGGGGGGGGAGGTTGTGAATGTCCCCGTGTCCCCCACGTCCCCCCTGAGCAGCCCCACGTCCCCAAAAACCAACTTCCCCTTCCTGAGCTTCCTGGGCTGGGCCCTGAGCTGGGGCCACCGCCACGTGACACCAGTGCCACCACCCCCGTGACGCCAGTGCCACCACCCCCGTGACACCGCCGGACCATATAGGGTCCATATAGCTCTGGCCATCACTATCTGACACTGGCCACGACCATATGGCCCTACAACACCAGCTGTGACCCATAGAACTGCAGCCAGGCCCTATAACACCATGCGAGGCCCTATAACATGAAGCAGGGCCCTATAAAAGCACACAGACTCTATAGAAGACCATCCAGGAGTATATACCACCACCAGGGTCCCTATACCACTCCTTAGGTCCATATAACACTGCTCAGGCCCATATAAAGCTGTCCAGCGTCCCTATAGCACAGCCCAGGGCTCATATGGAACTGCCCAGGGTCCATCTAACATCACCTGGGCCCATATATCACCACCCAGGGCCCATTTAGCATAGCCCAGGGCTCATATAATACCACCGTGGCCCGTATAACGTTGTCTGGGCCTGTATAGCACTGCTCATGGCCCACATAACACCACTCAGAGCCCATATAGCATGGTCCAGGGCTCATATAGCACCACCATGGCCCATATAACGTTGTCTGGGCTCATGTAACACCACCCGGGGCTCATATAGCACTGCTCATGGCCCATATATCACCACCCAGGGCCCATATAGCACCACCATGGCCCATATAACATTGTCTGGGCTCACGTAACACCACCTGGAACCCATATATCACCACCCAGGGCTCATACTGCACTGCTCATGGCCCATATAACATTGACTGGGCTCATATATCACCACCTGGGGCCCATATAGCTCCTATAGCATCACCCAGGGCCCATGTAACACCACCTGGGCTCATATGGCACTACCTCCGGCTCATATGGCACCACCCAGGGCCCATATAACACTGCCTGGGCTCATAAAGCACCGCTTATGGCCCACATAACACTGCCTGGGCTCATGTACCACCACCCAGAGCCCATAGAGCATGGCCTGGGGCTCATATAGCACCACCACAGCTCATAGAACATCACCAGGGCCCATGTATCACCACCTGGGGCTCATATAGCATGGCTCACGGCCCATATATCAACCACCTGGGCTCATACAGCACTGCTCATGGCCCCTATATCACCGCCTGGGCCCATATAGCACTGCTCACGGCCCACATAACATCACCTGGGCCCATATATTACTGCTCACGGCCCACATAACATCACCTGGGCCCATATAGCACTGCTCACGGCCCCTGTATCACCAGATGGGCACATATAGCTCCTATATCAGCACCTGGGCCCATATAACATGGTTCACGGCCCCTATATCACTGCCTGGGCCCATACAGCACTGCTTACGGCCTGTATAACATCACCTGGGCCCATATAGCACAGCTCACAGCCCCTATAACATCACCTGGGGCTCATATAGCACTGCTCACGGCCCCTGTATCACCAGATGGGCACATAGAGCTCCTATATCAGCACATGGGCCCATATAGCATGGTTCACAGCCCCTATATCATTGCCTGGGCCCATACAGCACTGCTCACGGCCTGTATAACATCACCTGGGCCCATATAGCACTGCTCACAGCCCATATAACATCACCTGGGGCTCATATAGCACTGCTCATGGCCCCTGTATCACCAGATGGGCACATATAGCTCCTATATCAGCACATGGGCCCATATAGCATGGTTCACGGCCCCTATATCACTGCCTGGGCCCATACAGCACTGCTCACGGCCCGTATAACATCACCTGGGCCCATACAGCACTGCTCATGGCCTGTATAACATCACCTGGGCCCATACAGCACTGCTCACAGCCCATATAACATCACCTGGGCCCATATAGCGTGGTTCACGGCCCTTATAACACCGCCTGGGCCCATATAGCCCCCCCAGGGCCCGTACAGGCCCGCCCGGCCCCGTTGCCATGGCGACAGCGCCGCGCCGCGGCCGCGCAGGCCGCGCCGGAAGCCGGGTCCCGTTGCCGTGGCGACGCGGCGGCGCGCAGGGCCCGTTGGGAGTCCGTTGGGCCGCCCGGCCGGGCCGGGACCCGCCATGGAGCCCGAGGCGCTGGTGCAGTGCCCCTACGACAGCAGCCACCGCCTCCGGGCCTCCCGCCTGCCCTACCACCTCGTCAAGTGCGAGCAGGTGAGCGGCGACGGGGCCTGCCGGGGGACGGGGCTGGGGGGGCCTAGGGCCTGCTGGGGGCCGGGACCTGCTGGGGGCCGGGGCCGGGACCTGCTGGGGGCCGGGACCTGCTGGGGGCCGGGACCTGCTGGGGGCTGGGACCTGCTGGGGGCTGGGACCTGCTGGGGGCTGGGACCTGCTGGGGGCTGGGACCTGCTGGGGGCTGGGACTGGGGTCTATGCGGGACTGGGACCTACGGGGGGCCAGGACTGTGGTCTGTGTGGGACCGGGACCTAATGGGGACCGGGACTGGGACCTGCTGGGGGCTGGGACCTGCTGGGGGCTGGGACCTGCTGGGGGCTGGGACCTGCTGGGGGCTGGGACCTACTGGGGGCTGGGACTGGGACCTGCTGGGGGCTGGGACCTACGGGGGGCTGGGACCTACGGGGGGCTGGGACCTACTGGGGGCTGGGACCTACTGGGGGCTGGGACCTACTGGGGGCTGGGACTGGGACCTGCTGGGGGCTGGGACCTACGGGGGGCTGGGACCTACGGGGGGCTGGGACCTACTGGGGGCTGGGACTGGGACCTGCTGGGGGCTGGGACCTACGGGGGGCTGGGACCTACTGGGGGCTGGGACCTACTGGGGGCTGGGACTGGGACCTGGGACCTACGGGGGGCTGGGACCTACGGGGGGCTGGGACCTACGGGGGGCTGGGACCTACTGGGGGCTGGGGCTGGGACCTACTGGGGGCTGGGACCTACTGGGGGCTGGGACCTACTGGGGGCTGGGACTGGGACCTGCTGGGGGCTGGGACCTACGGGGGGCTGGGACCTACGGGGGGCTGGGACCTACGGGGGGCTGGGACCTACTGGGGGCTGGGACTGGGACCTGCTGGGGGCTGGGACCTACGGGGGGCTGGGACCTACGGGGGGCCGGGACCTACTGGGGGCTGGGACTGGGGTCTATGCGGGACTGGGACCTACTGGGGACTGGGACTGGGGTCTATGCGGGACTGGGACCTACTGGGGGCCAGGACTGTGGTCTGTGAGGGACCGGGACCTAATGGGGGCTGGGACCTACTGGGGACTGGGAATGGGGTCTGTGCGGGGCCGGGACCTACTGGGGGCCGGGACCTACTGGGGGCCGGGACCTACTGGGGGCCGGGACCGACTGGGGTCTATGTGGGACTGGGGTCTATGTGGGACTGGGGTCTATGCGGGACTGGGACCTACTGGGGACTGGGACTGGGGTCTATGCGGGACTGGGACCTACTGGGGACTGGGACTGGGGTCTATGCGGGACTGGGACCTACTGGGGACTGGGACTGGGACCTACTGGGGGCCAGGACTGTGGTCTGTGCGGGACCGGGACCTAATGGGGGCTGGGACCTACTGGGGACCGGGACTGGGGTCTGTGCGGGGCCAGGACCTACTGGGGGCCAGGGCTGGGACCTGCTGGGGGCTGGGACCAGGGCATACCGGGGGCCTGAGACCGCCTTGGGGCAGGATCTGGGACCTACTGGGGCTGGGGCCTATGGGGGACTGGGACCGAATAGGGGCCAGGACTGGGACCGACTTGGGGCCTAGAGCTGCTGGGGGCCAGGGCTCAGCCACCTCTGAGGCAGGGCCCCCCCCCCCCTCACCCTGTGCCCCCAACCCAGTGCCTCTTGTCTCTCCTCACCCCCTCCCACCCCCAGAACAACCCGCAGGTAGCCCGCACGCTAGCCACCTGCCCCTTCAACGCCAGGCACAGGGTGCCCCAGGCCAAGCTGTGGAGCCACGTCGCCTCTTGCCCCGACAAGCGCCAGCCTGATCTCCCCCACGGTACAGCTTGTGTGTGTGTGTGACCCCCCCCCATTTTGCTGCCCCAGCAGCCATGTTCAACTGTCCCCCCTCCCATCGCTGTCCCCACAGAGATGGACATGTCCCTCGGTGACAGAGCGAAGCAATCCGATGTCCCCACAGCCTGGCAGAGCCCCCCGTGCCAGGAAGACTGGGAGGCTGGTGAGTGCCCAAGCAGTGCTCCCCCCCCCCCCAAACGTGTCACCCCAAGGCTGGCACGTCCCCTGTCTCATCACCCTTCGCAGAGCTGGAGGACCTGGAGGACCCTCCGCCGTTCATCTTCAACGTCAGGATGAACGACCCGCTCCTCCTCCCTCGCGACAGGTTGGACCCCTCAGGGCTGGGGTTGTCCCTTATTTGGGTGCCCACATTCAGGTGTGCGTGTCCCCCCCCACGGGTGCTGCCCGCCCCAACACCCCTGCTTCTCTTTTCCCACCCCAGCTCTGCCCTGGCAGCACCCACAAACCCGAGCCGAGGCAGGGCAGCTGCAGGACACGCTGTGGTGGGTGCGGAGTGGTGGGGACAGAAGGGACAGCAGACGGTGGCAGCAGGACAGGGGCAGTGCCCGTCTCTCCACTGGGACCAGAGAAACCGCAGTGCCAGGGGGGGCTGCGCCCCCTCCGCCGCCGTTGCGGGGAGCGATTTTACCCACAGATTTTAAATGCATGTTTATAAATAAGCTGCCTGTGAGTGTGCGTGGTGTCACCTGGGGGGGAGGACGGAAGGGACGCTGTGGGGTGGGGATGGGGCCACCCCTGTGGCACAGACACTGTGGGCACCCATGGGACCCTGGGGACGGGGGACACCCCCCCCCCCCCCTTGGCCCTGCCTCTGTGGCACGGACGAGTGGGGGGGCAGGACCTGTGTGTGTGTGTGTGTCCCGCCCCAAGGGGTCTCTCGCACCGATGGGGAGGGGGGGGCAGGAGGCAATATCTCCAGCACACAGTGGGCTGTCCCCTCCCTGGGCAGCTGTCCCCTCCCTGGGCCTGTCTGTCCCCATAACCCCCCTGAGCCAGCCTATGTCCCTGTCACCCCCCCAGTGTGTCCCCATAACTCCCCACGAGTCAGCACGTGTACCTGTCACCCCCTCAGTGTGTCCCCATAACCCCCCCCAGCCAGCCTATGTCCCTGTCACCCCCCCCCAGTTTGTCCCCATAACTCCCCCCAAGCCAGCCTATGTCCCTGTCCCCATCCCAGTGTGTCCCCATAAACCCCCTGAGCCAGCCCATGTCCCTGTCACCCCCCTAGTGTGTCCCCATAACCCCCCCGAGCCAGCCCATGTCCCTGTCACCCCCCCAGTATGTCCCCATAACCCCCCTGAGCCAGCCCATGTCCCTGTCACCCCCCCAGTGTGTCCCCATAACCCCCCCCAGCCACCCTATGTCCCTGTCACCCCCCCAGTGTGTCCTCATAACCCCCCTGAGCCAGCCCATGTCCCTGTCACCCCCCCAGTGTGTCCCCATAACCCCCCCGAGCCAGCCCATGTCCCTGTCACCCCCCCAGTGTGTCCCCATAACCCCCCTGAGCCAGCCCATGTCCCTGTCACCCCCCCAGTATGTCCCCATAACCCCCCCGAGCCAGCCCATGTCCCCATAACTCCCCATGAGCCAGCCCGTGTCCCTGTCACCCCCTCAGTGTGTCCCCATAACCCCCCCAAGCCAGCCTATGTCCCTGTCACCCCCCCAGTGTGTCCCCATATCCCCCAGGCTCACTCACATCCTCGTACCACCCCCATATGTCCCCGTAACCCCCCTGTCCCCCACACAGTGTGTCCCACCCACCCCCCCCCCCAGTGCCCCCCCTCACCCTGTCCCCAACCACCCCTAAACTCGGGGGGGGTGACGGGGACACCACCGAAGATGACGACCGAGACCACCCTGCGCAGCTGAACCAGCTCAAGGTGACCCCAAACCCCACCAATCCCAGTGCCTGGGGGGGCTGCTGCCCCCCTCCAAGGACACCAGCTTCCCCCCCCCAGTCCCTCCCCACCCAAACAGGCGTTTCCAGACAGGCATTGCCCAGTTTTTGGGCTGGGGGGGGGGAAACGACGGACTATTTTAGTGCCTCTTGCACAACGCGGGTGCCTCGTGCTCAGGCCGTGTCCCCAGGGCATCAGCTGGTGGGTTCCCCACCCAGGGAGGGGGGGCTGGGGAAACCTCATTAACCCCCCCCCACCCCGTGCGTTCATCCAAAATATGATTCCCCAGCACACACCCCACACACCCCCCCCCCCTCCACGTCCCCACCAGCCTGGCGGTGACACACACCCGTCACACCCACACCACGCTCAACCCCAGCGTCACGCAGGGAACAAGGGGGATCCCCCAATCCTCCTCCACCCCCCCCCCCCCCCTAATTCCTTCTCCCTTCTCCTTCCAGCAGGACGCCTCGGGGGGGGGTGGGACACGACACCCCACGGAGCCCCCACCGCTCCGGGCAGCACGCAGAGCTCAGAGGAGGTGACAGATTTGGGGCGGTACGCGTGGAAATGGAAACGGGTGTGTCCCCAGCCGGGCTCCCTGCCCACCCCATCACCAAGGCAGGCAGTGGGGACCCCACGGGGATGAATTTGAGTGCGGGGGGGGGGAACCTTTTTTTTTTTTTCTTTTTTTTTTTGGCCTTTTTTCCAGCAGTTCACAGGGAGGTCAGATATATATCTTTCCCCGTGCGGCGGAGGGGGGGGGGGGGGGGGTGGAAGCACGCAGGCGGGGTCGCGCCGGTCCCTCCTGGCCGGGCAGAGGAGGAGAGTGATCTGGTGTTGCAATTAATTCCTCCCTCGCCAGCGCCAGAAATGCAGCTGCAGAGCGGTTTTTACGCGACTAATAACTCCCGTTAACGTACATCTGGCAGGAGCTGCACATCCTGGGCTCGGCCCATCTGGGAGACGCTTTTCCTCCCTCCATCTCCAACCCAGAGACTGAAAACGAATCATTTTGCAGCGGCCGTTCCTCAGGCTTCAACCTGCCAAGCGCAAACCTTCACTTTCCGCCCCCCCCCCAAAAAAAAAAACATATTTTAAACCCATTTATTGACTTTACAGGAGCTTTTTATCCCCTCGCAGCTCAGCGTGGAGAATCAGGACGCGCGCCCACATGGGTTTCTCTCGGCGAAAAGCTTTCCCCTCCTGCAAATCCCATCCCGGCGGCCGCTTCCCCTCGCCGGAGAGCGAAACCCTTTTTCCCCCCCCCTCCCGCTCTGCCCGCAGGTGGAAAACCATCCGAATCCCTCCCCGCTCCGTAAGGGTTAAGAAGGAATTTCTCCGGCTTTGTTGCCTTGTTTAAAAGCGTCTGAGTGCTACGGCTTCGCCTGACATCTCTCCCCCGTGGTTTCCAGAGCAGTTTCATGTGTGCTTCGAACTGTGCCAGCAACGGCCTTACAACACTTGCCGGGAGTTTTTGCTCGGAGGGTGGATCCGGCCGGGTAGGTTGGAGGACTGGCTTATTTTCATCCCGGAGCCGGATGGGAAACGACAGGCGTTTCCCTCCTTTTTCCACCTATTTTGCTGTTCTTTTCGCCCTGGCAGATCTCAGAGAACTCCCCCCCCCCTTCTCTGGGGAGCCGGCGGGTTTTTCCCCTCGGCGGAGGCTGCGGGGTGGGAGAATTGAATATTTTTGGGTGGTGGGGCAGTTCTGTGTCACCTTCGGCTGCCACCTTGGGGCACTTTGGGGACAGCAGCTCCTGCCTCCCACCCTGCCCCCCCCCCTCCCCCCCTCCTTTCCAGGCGGGTCCCGCCTGGCTTCTCCGTGATTTTGGGGAGATTTTTTACACCTTTTTGACCTCACCTTACACGCTTTAACCGTTTTACCCCTGTTCTCTTCAGTGCAGCGATGAAACATCCCATGTGCCCCCACCCTCATATGATTCCCACAGTCCCGAGGGGGGGGGGGTACCAGCTGAGCCCCCCCCCCGGTATAAACAGGGGTGCCCAGTTCCGCGTGTTGACGTGAGGCCACACCAGTTCCCCCCCCCACCACCACCATTCCCAGGACAAAATTCCCCACGTCGTTCCCCGGCTGTGATTCAGCGCCCGGCACCGCTCCCCGGCTGGTTTCTACCGGGGGGGGGTTGGGGGGGGGGGGGGAGGAGGATGGGAAGGGGACATAAAAAAAAAAAAATAAAAAAACCCCCAACATTTACTGTCAAACTGTGTCTGAAAGCAACAGGAAAAGGAAGAGGGCAGGAACCGGCGAGCGTCTGGCAGTCGCAGGCAAATGGCAGCAGCTTTGAAGTCACCGGGGCTGGGGGGGGGGCGTTGAGAAGCCCCTTGGTGTGTCCCCCCCTGCACCCCAGCCCCAGCCAGGGGGGGATGCCCTGACAGGAATTGCTCCCCGTGAAGCCCTTTTGGGGCATTTTGGGTTGGTTTTGTTTTTTTTTTTTTTTTTTTGTCTCCCCCCCCCCCGCCATATTTTGGATTGGTTTTGTTTTTTTTTTTTTTTGTTTTTTTTTTTCCCCCCCCCTCCCCGCCACCACTTTTTGCTTTTTCTCTCCACAGCTCATCAGGATCCCTCCGTCCAGCCGAGGTTTGGCTCTCGCTGCCCTCTCAGGGCCGGATCCTGACTCGTTATGGCAGGAAATTAGGCGGAAAAACAACAAATGCCCCAAAACATCGGGGCTGGGTGAGGAGAGCTGGGCAGCGCCCCCCCCCCCCCTTCACCGCTCAATCACTAAAACTGCTGTTTCTGGCCTCAAAATGCTCCCGTGATTGATTTTTGGGTTATCCCAGCGGCGTTACGGCGTGATTTACCCCGTAGGGGGGGTGCTGAAAAAGGTCAAAAAGGGGGGGGGGGGTGCCCCCCTCAGGGAGGGGTGGGGGGTGTCTCTGGGTGTCCCCACGCTGCCTGGGAGGCTGGCCAAAAAGGAGGGGGGGGCATGAAAGGGCCCCCTTTTTATGAGGGGGGGGGTGGTGTGGCCCAAAGCAGGGGGGTCACGCGTGCCCACCGTGCGTGTCGGGGGGGGGGGTTGCGTGAGCGTGCACACGCGTGTGTCAGCCCCAGCCGTGTCTCCTCTGCTCTGGGTGTCTCTGTCTGCCCCCCCCCAAGGCGCCGGGGCCCCCCCCCCGCCCCCCCCAGGGCTGGCTGGGTGCCCGGCTCCCCAACGCCTGCAGCCGCCAGCGCCTTTTTTGGGAAGCGGCCGGCGCGGGGCCGCATCCAGGCCCCACGCCAGCTCCGGGGGGGGGGCCCCCCCCCCCCCCCACACCATTCCGGGGAAACTGAGGCCGGGCACCCCCCCCCCCCTCCACAGCCACCCCAGTAGCACTGATGCCTGCCCCCCCACCCCCCCCCAACCACCTAGCGGGGTGCCTCAGTGTCATTGTGTATTCCCCCCCCTCCCTAATTCACTGGGGTGTCCCAGCGGGGGGGCCCCCCCCCCCCCTAAGCGGGGGAGCTGGGGGTGACGTGGCCCCGCTGTCGGGCCAGGCTATATAGGGGCTGGTGGGGAGGATGAGTCAGGCCCGGGCCCTCCCGGCCCCCCCCCCCCCCCCCCCTCCAGTGACTCAGGGACGCTCCCCGGCACTGGCCATACTTAGCCAGGAGCACCCAGTGCCAGCCCCCCCCACGCAGGGAGTGAGGGGGGGGGCCCACACACACCCCCGTGGGGTGTCCCTTGGGTATGGGTGTAAGAATTGGGGGGGGGGCAGCACCCAGGGGTGTGGTGGGGATGGAGGGCATGGGGGCAGCACCCATGGGAACGGGGGGGGGGGGGGGCCCGGATCAGGCTCCCCCCCCCCAGCACTCCCAGGGAGGGAAACTGAGGCACAGTGGGGGCAGCCTGGGGCCACGGGGATGTGGGGATGGGACCTGGGGTGAGTGGGCACACGGGGATAGGGTCAGGACACGCGTGTGCACGAGGGGAAGGTGTCAGGACACACGTGTGCATGAGGGGACAGGGTCAGCACATGTGTGTGCACAAGGGCATGGTGTCAGGACACACGTGTGCACACAGGGACAGTGCCAGGACACACACATGTGCATGAGGGGAGTGTCAGCACACGTGTGTGCACGAGGGGATGGTGTCAGGATACACGCGTGTGCAGGAGGGGACAGTGTCAGCACACGTGTGCACCAGGGGATGGTGTCAGGACATGTGTGCGCACAAGGGGACAATGTCAGGACGTGCATGTGCACGAGGAGACGTGTCACAGGACACGGTTGCACGTGAGGGGACGGTGTCAGGACACGCGTGTGCATGAGGGGCGGGGTGATGTGGGACACGGGTGTGCGCACAAGGGGAAGGTGTCAGGACACGCGTGTGCGCGAGGGGATATGTCACAGGACATGGGTGCCCACGAGGGGATGGTGTTGGGGCACATACGTGTGCACGAGGGTACAGTGTCAGGACACGGACACGCACGAGGGGACAGCGTCACGGCACACGCGTGTGCACGAGGGCTGGTGCCAGCGTGGGGCCGGGCGTGCGAGGGCAGGAAGGGCCCCGGCGCCAGCGCATTGTTCACCGACCCCCCCCTCGTCACTTCCCCCCCCAGCCACGGAAACGTCCCCATTGTCCCCACGGGGGGGGGGGGCACCGTGCCCACGGGGGGCACGCGCCCCCCTGCACCCACACGCGTGTGCAAGCTCCCACACCCCCCCACCCCATGGGGTGGGGGCAGCGATGGGGGAAGCACCCACAGCGGGGTGCTGAGCAGAGGATTCAGGCGTCTGAGCCTGGGGGGGGGACGGGACACACGGAGGGGGACAGACAAAGGGGGACACGAGTGAGGGGGACACGGGGGGGGGGGGGAACCCCTCTGGCCTCTTGGGCCCCCCCCCCAGCCCCCGGCCCAGCTGTGGCCGCCATTGCATCAGCGGCGCAGGAATGCGGCCGGCCCCACGGCTGCGAGGCCCCCGGCCCCCCCCTCCGCGCACGCCCCCCAGCCCACCCCCCACGCACGGGGGGCCCGGTTTTGGGGTGGGGGTGTCGTGCGTGTCGTGCGTGTGACCCACCCCCACAGCCCACCCCCCCCCCCCACCCCCCCTTTTGCACGAGCACGTGGCGAGGCGAGCCGCGCTTTGCACACACGCGGGTAGTGGGGGGGGGGGGGGGGGGGGAGGAGAGGGTGGGCGTGCAGCGTTTGCACACTTGCGTGGGGGGGTGAGGGTGGGGGAGGCTGCTGAGCGTGCGCCGTTTGCACGCTCGTGTGGAGCGAGGCCCCACGCTCGCGTGGAGGCAGCAAAAGCGTCGCGGGGAGTGCGGGGGGGGGGTGTGGGAGCGGCACCACTGCCCCACGCACGCAGACCCCCACACCAGGGCAGGGTCTTGGGGCTCTAGGAGCGGGGGGGGAGGTGGAGGAGGGGGTGTATGTGTGTCCCCCCTCCGTGTCCCCCCGTGGGGGGTCCCGGCCCCCCCGCGCAGCCGCGTGGGAACGGCTCCAGCCCCGGCTCCGTTTCCGCCGTTTCCTTCCAGGAAGCGGCAGCCGGATCCGCCCCCCCCCCCCCCCCCCCCCCCCGTGTCCCCTTCCTCCCGCCGCTGTCCCCAGCCCCACGACATCCCCAGCCCCACGACACCCCCCCCCCCGCCCTGTCCCACTCCTGTCCCCCCGTGTCCCGTCCCTGCTGCTCCTCCCCAATGTCCTCCGTGTGTGTCCCCCTCCAGTGTCCCGCTGGTGTCCTGTGCCCCCCAGTGTCCCATGTCCCCACGTGTACCCCCACGTCTCCTTGCGCCTGTCCCACCAGGTTCCCCCCACGGTGCCCCGTGTCCCTTTGTCCTCTCAATGTCCCAGTGTCCCCTCAGTGTCCCAGTACCCCCAGTGTCCCGTGCCCCAGCATGCCCTGCTGTCCTGCCCCCCGCCGTGTCCCCAGTGTCCCCTCATCCCTCCCTTGTCCCAGTACCCACCAGTGTCCTGCCCACCGTGTCACCTGGGGGCTCACCCCCCTCTGTCCCAGTCGCCTCGCTGGTGCCCTGTGTCCCCTCGCCCCCCCACCAGTGTCCCATTGCCACCCGGGCCCCCATCTCCCCTGGTCTCTTGGTGTCCCTACAGTGTCCCATTCCTGCCGAGTGTCCCCGCAGTGTCCCGGTGTCCCAGTCCCCTTCGAGTGTCTTGGTCCCCAGTGGGACACTGGGGACACCGTTCCCAGTGTCCCGGTCCCCTCGGGTGTCCCAATTCCTGCTGTCCTGGTCCCCCCCAGTGCCCCCGTTCCTGGTGTCCCAGTCCCCTTTGGGTATCCCAGTCCCCAGTGTCCCCGTTCCCGGTGTCCTGCTGCCCCTCGAGTGATCCGCTCCCCCGGTATCCAGCGCCCCGCTGTCCCTCGGGTGTCCCCAATCCCGGCGGCCCGCTGCTTTCGGGGTACCCCGGTGCACCCGGGGGTGGGGGGGTGGGTGCCTCAGTCCTTGATGGGTGCCCCGCTGCCCCTCGGGTGCCCCCACCCCTCACGTCCCGCTCCCCGCCCCGGGATGTCCCGGTTCCCCCGGCCCCCGGTGCGGTGCCGGTGCCGGTGCCCGACGGGGGCTCTGGCTCCTCCCCGGTGAGTCACGGCGGGGCGGGGCGGGCCGGGCCCCCCCCCCCGGGCACTTTCCGAGGGGACTCGGGAGCGGGAGGCAGCGCCGAGCCCGGCCAGCCCCGCTCCGCCATGGCCCCGGCCCCCCCGCGCCGCCCCCGGCCCCGGCCGCTGCTGCCGCTGTTGCTGCCGTTGCTGCTGCTGCCGCCGTTACCGGGCGCTGCCTTTAACCTGGAGGCGTCGAGGCCCGTCGCCTTCCGCGGGGCCCCCGGGTCCCTCTTCGGTTTCGCGTTGGACTTTTACCTGCCCCGGCCCCGCAGGTACCGGGAACGGCATACCGGGAACGGCACCGACACCGGGAACGGGTGGGGCGGGAGAGGGAGAGGCAACGGGATGGGTCCGGACACCGGGAGAGGCGCGCCGGGAACCGGGAAGGGAACTGGGCACCGGGCGGGGAGCGGGAGCGGCCACCGGGAGCGGGACGGAGCCCGAGCGGGAGGGAGCGGGAGGGACCGGGACCGGGACCGGGACCGGCCCGGCGGGATGGGGAGCGGCCCCCGGAGTGGGGCGGGGGCAGGGAGGAACGGGACACCGGGGGCGGGTAACGGGAACTGGGAACGGGGCGGGGGAACGGGGCACCGGGGAGCGGGAACTGGGGAACGGGACACCGGGGCGGGAAAAGGGAACGGGAACGGGACACCGGGGCGGGAAAAGGGAACGGGAACGGGGAACGGGGCGGTCCCGGGGAGCGGAGAACGGGAACCGGGAGTGGGAAACAGGAACCGGGATCGATCCAGCCCCGGCGTCTCCGTCGGGGCTGGGGGCACCGGCCGGGGGCTGAGCCCCGGTCCCGGCTCCGGTAGGTCCCCCCCGGCCCCCGCCGGGGGTCCCGGGGCCCTGTAGCCCCCGGCCGGAGCGTTTCCTGTAACCGGAGCCGGGAGCTGCCCCCGAGGGGCGGTGGGGGCTCCGGGGGGGGGGGGGACCCAGGAGTCCGGGCACGGCCCTGCCCTGCCCCCCCTCCCCACGCGTGACCCGCACCCGTGGGGAGGGGGGGGGAACAACAAACGGGGGGGCACCCCCCGCGTGTCTGTGTTCCCTGCTGAGGACCTGGGGAATGGGGGGCCCTGGGTGTCTCCCGACGCCCCCCCCACGGTGGGTGGCCCCCCCCCCCCTCCACGGCCGTGGGTGGTTTCAGAGCTTCCTCTCCCACGGAGCCGGAAGGGGTCACTCAGGCCCGGCCCCATGGGCTGAGTCAGAGGGGCCCGTGGGACCCGGGGCGGGGGGACACAATGACAGAAGTGGGTTTGGATGTGTCATCCCCCCCCCCCCCACCCCGGACACCCCCACGCCAGGGCTCCTGGGTCCTCTGGGTGCCCTGGGGGTGACGGCCACCGTGTCCCCACGGACACACACACCCCTCACCCGCCCCCCCTTCCTGAGCATCCCACTGACACCCCCCCCCCCCACTCACCCACCCAGCGTCAGCATCCTGGTGGGTGCCCCCAAGGCCAACACGAGCCAGCCCAATGTCACCCAGGGGGGGGCCGTCTACCACTGCCCTTGGCCCCCCGGTGACGACTGCACCCCCATTGACTTCGACCACATCGGTAAGGGGACAGGGACACGGGTGGGGACGAGCCCCCTGGGGATGGGGACGGGGTGGGGACATGGGTGGGGGACAAGGACAGGGGTGGGGACAGGCCCCCCCCCCCCCCCCCCCCGGCATGGGGACAGGCACTGCTTGAAGCCAGCGATGGGGCCACGGGTGGGGGACCTGGACAAGGACAGGGGTGGGGACAGGCCTCCCCCCCCCAGCTTGGGGGACAGTGATGGGCATGGGTGGGGACAGGGACATGGCCCCCAGCACCCATGGGCCCCTCCACCAGCCCCCCCCCCCACCCAGCCCTACGTCATTGTCCCCCACGGCCATATGTGTCCCCCCCCCTCCCCATGGCCTTGGCACTGCAGCCAGGCTCTTGTCCCACCTGGTTAATGATAAATCGGGGGGGGGGGGGGGGGGGGGGGGGGGAGAGAAGGAAGAGCAGTGGGTGCTGGGGTGGGGGTCCCCTGGGTGCTGCGGTAGCGGGTGCCAGCCTGACCCTTGCTCCCCGCCCCCCCCCCCCCCCCCACCTCCAGGGACCCGCACCCACGATTTTGGGGGCAACAGCACGGAGACCCCCGACCCCGTCGAGTTCAAGTCCCTGCAGTGGTTCGGGGCCACAGTGCGGGCGCACAATGCCTCCATCCTGGTACGGGGGGGGGGGACACACACACAGCGGGGGGGGGACAACACACTGGGGGGCACAACGGGGGAAGCGGGGGGGCATGGAAGGAGCAGGGGTCTGTCTCTGTGTGGACCCCCTGTGCCTTCCCCCCACCCATGGGCCTCCACCCCCCCCCCCCCCTTTGCCTCCCCCCCCCCCCCGCTCCAGGCCTGCGCCCCACTGTACAGCTGGAGCCCCCCCAAGGAGGAGGGAGGGGGCCGGGAGCCGGTGGGCACTTGCTTCCTCTCCATCGGCAACTTCTCCAAGTTCGTGGAGTATGCACCGTGCCGCTCAGGTGGGACCCCCCCCCCCCCCTCCAAACCTCCCCCCCCTTTGCATCCCACCCCCCCAAGCCTGGCACCCATGGGTGGCACCACTGGGCATCCCGCCCCCCCCCCCCCCCCCGCCTGGTATCCATGGGTGACACCCCCCAAACACCCTGCCTGGCACCCCTGGGGGCATCACCCCCCTACACACTCCAAGCATCCCCAGGTTGACGCACCCCCCCCCCCCCCCCCCCGATCCTCCCTAGCACCCAGACACCCCCCCCAGACATCCCCCTGCCTGGCATTTCTGGGGTGTCACCCCCATAACACCCCAACCAGCACCCATGAGACCCCAGGCACGCCCAGCCCGGCACCCAAGGGGGTGACACCCCCCCATAACACCCCAACCAGCACCCATGGGCTCCCCTCAACCCCCCCACCCCAACCCCCCCCCCCAAAACCTCTGCCCCCCTTCTCTCCCCACAGACTTGAACTCTGCGGCTGGGCAGGGCTACTGCCAGGGGGGCTTCAGCGCCGAGTTCACCCAGGTGGGGGGCACGGGGGGGGGGTGGGGGGCCTGGGGACATGGGGGGGATGTCATGAGTATGGGGGGGCCAGGACCCCTAGGCGTGGAGGGGGGGCGAGGATTGGGGAGCAGAGGTATGCGGGGGTAATGCGGTATGGGGGCTATATTGGGGGTATGGGGGCTATATTGGGGGCCGCAGGGGGGGTGTAAGGGTATATAGGGGTCTGGGGGCACATAGGGGCTGTGGGGGGGCCCTGGCAGGTGGCCCAGGCTGAGGGTGGTGTGTGTGTGTCCCCCCCTCCCTGGTCTCTCTGCAGACGGGACGGGTGCTCCTGGGGGGGCCCGGCAGCTACTTCTGGCAAGGTGAGACCCCAGCCCCTGCCTGCCCCCGACTGTCCCTACACACCCCTAAACTCCCCTGCCTGCCCCTAGACACCCCCAAATGGCCCTAAACTTCCCCAATTGTCCCTAAAACTCCTCTGCCTGCCCCTGCCTGTCCCTAAACTCCCATGCCTGTGTCCGGCTGCCCCTAAACTCCCCCAGTTGTCCCTAAACTCCCCGTGCTTGCCCCCAGACACCCCTAAACTCCCTCAATTGTCCCTAAACTCCCCTGCCTGCCCCTAGACACCCCTAAACTCCTCTGCCTGCCCCTAAACTCCCCCAATAGTCCCTAAACTCCCCGTGCCCTCCCCTAGACACCCCTAAACTCCCCTGCCTGTCCCTGCCTGCCTGTAGACACCCCCAATTGTCCCTAAACTTCCCTGCCTGATCCTAAACTCCCCTGCCTGTCCCTGCCTGTCCCTAAACTCCCTCAATTGTCCCTAAACTCCCCTGCCTGTCCCTAGACACCCCTAAACTCCCCCAGCTCTCCCTAAACTCCCCTGCCTGCCCGTAGACACCCCCGATTGTCCCTAAACTCCCCCGATTGTCCCTAAACTCCCCCGCCTGGCCCCTGCCCGCCCCTGCCCGCCCGGCCGGGGCGCGGGCAGCACCCCTGGGTGCTGAGGGGCCGCCCGCGCCCCCCAGGGCAGGTGATGTCGGCGACGCAGGAGCAGATCGCGGCCTCCAGCTACCCCGAGTACTTCATCCAGGAGGTGGCCGGGCAGCTCCAGACCCGCCAGGCAGCCCCCACCCACGATGACAGCTACATGGGTCTGCTGGGGACACGGGGGGGACAGGGGCGTGGGGGACATGGGGGGGACGTGGGGATGTGGGGGGGACGGGGGCATGGGGGACATGATGGGGCTTGGGGGGACGTGGGGACACAGGAGATGGGGTGTAGGGACATAGGGGGCATGGGGACATAGGGACAGGGGGACACAAGGGATGGGGTGGGGGGACAGGGGCATGGGGGACATGGGGGGACGTGGGGATGTGGGGGGGACGGGGGCATGGGGGACATGGAGGGGACGTGGGGATGTGGAGGGGACGGGGGCATGGGGGACATGATGGGGGCATGGGGCTTGGGGGGACGTGGGAACACAGGAGATGGGGTGTAGGGACATAGGGGGCATGGGGACATAGGGACAGGGGGACACAAGGGATGGAGTGGGGGGACAGGGGCATGGGGGCCATGGGGGGATGTGGGGGGGACAGGGGCATGGGGGACATGGGTGGGATGTGGGGATGTGGGGGGGAGAGGGGCATGGGGGACAGAGGGATGTGGGGGGGACAGGGGCATGGGGACATGGGGGGATGTGGGGATGTGGGGGGGAGAGAGGCATGGGGGACATGGGGGGGACGTGGGGATGTGGGGGGGACAGGGGCATGGGGGACATAGAGGGATGTGGGGGGGACAGGGGCATGGGGACGTGGGTGGGACGTGGGGATGTGGGGGGACAGGGGCATGGGAGACATGGTCAGGGTATGGGGGGACATGGGGACACAGGAGATGGGGCATGGGGACATGGGGGGCATGGGGACATAGGGACAGGGGGACACGAGATGGGGTGGGGGGACAGGGGCATGGGGGACATGATGGGGGCATGGGGGGCCGTGGGGACACAGGAGATGGGGCGTGGGGACATGGGGGGACAGGGGTGTGGGTGGACAGGGGCCATGGGGACATTGGGGGACATGGGGAGGAGATGGGGACATGGGGCAGGGGGACACAGGAGGGACATGGGATGTGGGGGGATGAGGGCAAGGCATGGGGACACGGGGGACATGAGGACACGGAACAGGGACGTGGGGACGTGGAGTACGGGGGACACGGGCGTGGGGGAGTGGGGACATGGGGGGGGACAGGGAACAAAGGCATGGGGACATGGGGGGGCAGGACAAATGGGGACATGGGGGGGCATCGGGACATTGGGGGACAGGGGCAGAGGGACACGGGGCATGGAGGGCGTGGGAGCCATGGGGACACCGGACAGAGGGGACAGGGGGGACAGGGACATGGGGCTTGGGGATGTGGGGACACGGGCGTGGGGCCACTGGGACACGGGGGTCAGGGTGGTATCAGTGGCACGGGTGACAACGCAGGTGACACTTCTCCCCCTCCCCCAGGCTACTCGGTGGCGGTCGGCGAGTTCAGCGGGGACACGACGCAAGGTGGGTGTCACCAGGGTGACGGGGGGGGGGGGTGACATGGGGGTGTCACAGCCCCCCCCCCCCAACCAGGGCACCCCCCTGACAAGGTCACTTTGTCCCTTGCAGACTTTGTGGCCGGTGTCCCCAAGGGCAATCTCACCTACGGCTACGTAAGGCTGGGGGGACAGGGGACACGGGGGGGGACAGGGGACACGGGGGGGGACAGGGGGGCACCAGTTTGGGGGGGGGGGGGGGGGCAGCTGCCGGGGTTCCCTGGCTGCTGCCACAGTGTGTGTGTCCCCCCCCCGTCCCCTGTGTCCCCAGGTCACCATCCTCAATGGCACCAACATGAAGTCCCTGTACAACTTCTCAGGGGAGCAGGTGGGGTTGGGGGGGGGTTCCCTGGGGGGGGGGGGGGGCGGCCAGGGGGTCCTGGGGAGGGGGGGGGGGGTCCAGGGGGTGCCCCCACAGTGTCCCTGGGTGCCACCACGGGGTGCCTGGGTGCCAGGGGAGCTGGAAGTGTGTGTGTGGGGGGGTCCTACAGAGGGTGGGGGGCACCCACATAGGTGCTTGTGCAAGGAGGGGGGGGGGGGGGGGGGCACCCATATAGGTTGGGGGGGTACCTGTGCATGTTGGGGGGGGGGGGGGCCACCCGTGTATACTGGGAGCATCCACACGGGCTGGGGGTCCCCCATGTATGGTGGGGGGGGCCCTCCAGGCGGGGAGGGGGGGGCTCCCCTGGCAGGGTGGGGGTGCCCCCCCCCCATCACCCCACTCCCCCCCCCCCCCCCATCAGATGGCAGCGTATTTCGGCTACGCCGTGGCAGCCACGGACGTGAACAACGATGGGTGAGTACCGCCCCCCCCCACCCCAAACCCCCTGCATGGGTGCCCCCCCCACCCCCCTGGGGGTCTGCAGGCGGTGGGGGGGGGGGGCTGACAGGCATTTTTCCCGCCCCCCCCCCCCCCCCCCCCCAAGGCTGGCTGACCTGCTGGTGGGGGCCCCCCTCTTCATGGCGCGGACAGGGGAGGGGCGGGTGCAGGAGGTGGGCAGGGTGTACCTGTACCTGCAGCTGCCGGGGGGGGCTCTGCCTGACCCCCCCCTAGCACCCACCCCCCCCTCCACGGCACCCACCCCCACCATGGCACCCACCCCCGCCGTGGCCCTCACCGGGCCCCAGGAGTTTGGGCGTTTCGGCAGCGCCATCGCCCCCCTGGGAGACCTTGACCTGGACGGCTTCAACGGTGGGTGCCCCGGGGGGGGGGGGGAAACAGGGGGTGTAGGGGGGGCCCAGAATGGGGGGGGACACACACACACACACAGAGGGGTGCAGGGGGTGCCCAGAGCGAAGGTGGGGGGGTGCGGGGGGATGCTCAGGGCTGTGGAGGGGGGGTACAAGGGGGTGTCCAGGGTAAGGGGGGGGGGGGCAGAGAGAGGTGCGGGGGGTGCCCAGAGCGAAGGTGGGGGGGTAGAAGGGGGTGTCCAGGGTAAAGGGGGGCACGGGGGGGGGCACAGGGCGGTGGGAGGGGGGGCAGAGAGAGGTGCGGGGGGTACCCATGAGTGAAGGTGGGGGGGTAGAAGGGGGGGGCACAGGGGAGTGCCTGGCGGGGGGGGTGTGTGTGCAAAGAGAGGGGGGGGGTGCCCTTTGGGAGTGGGGGGGAGAGGGGCCACAGGGGGGTGCCCAGGCTATAGGGTGGCACGGGGGGGGGGGCTCAAGGGGGTGGCTGGGTTATGGGGTTGCAGGGGGGGGGGAGTGGAAGGGGGGGGGGTATCCCTGTACTGTTGGGTGTCATGGGGGCGGGGGGGTGCAGGAGGGGGCTCGGGGTATAGGGGGTGCCCACCCCCCCCCCCCCGTGTCGTCCCCCCCGGCCCCCCACTGAGTGACGTGGTGCAGACGTGGCGGTGGGGGCCCCCCTGGGCGCCGAGGGCCGGCAGGGGCTGGTGTACATCTACAGCGGGGGGGGGGCCGGGCTGCACCCCCACCCCGCCCAGGTGCTGCGGGGGCACTGGGCGCCCGGCCGGCACCCCGACTTCTTTGGAGCCGCCCTGCGCGGGGCCACCGACCTGGACGGCAACGGCTACCCGGGTAAGGGACCTGCCC